AAAGAGAAAGGTGTTTACAGCTCATGACCTATGAGATGCAGGATACTTAGAATTTTAGAGAGGAAGTTTTACGGTAGTTTGGAGGACCCTTTTCTTGCGCCCAAATCAAGTGGCAGGTCATATTGTGCTTGAGTATGTATAAGCGTGAAGAGCCATCTTGTGAGCGTTGATTCTTTACCTGTTTATGACTGGTAAGAACTTCCGTAATACCCCTTCTACCGACCTCAGTTCACGATTATTTTCATTTTCGGAGGGACTGCTGTACTCTGCTGGTAAATAGGCGATAGAGCTTTACCTACCCCAACGATAGGGAAACAGGTAACACAAGTGCAGACTACAGATGAATTTTGAAACAGTGGTGATGTTTGCCAAGTCTTACTATTTTAGACGCAGTAAAAGACGTGATTAATTTTGTTCGGCTTCGAACGTTGTCGATCCGACTCTTCGCAATCGGTTTGACTCGTGTACATGTGTTGGCATACTGATGCGGCTATGAAATGTTACGTCTTGTTTGAAAGTGTTTTCGTTGAGGAATTTGAAGTCTGGAATTATGACAAGACACTCCAGTAGATACAGTACTACAACATAACAGTCTGCAGAAAATTGTCAATGCACAACAGACTGCTCACTACTACAGCAGCAGCAGCAGCAGCAGCAGCAGCAGCAGCAGCAGCAGCAGCAGCAGCAGCAGCAGCAGCAGCAGCAGCAGCAGCAGCAGCCATGCCCACAGGGACTATGTTAGCACCAAGGACAACTAGTACAGTAGAAACCGTGGCAGCAGGGATATTTAACTCGAACTATGTGTTGCATAAGTAACCATTATGGAGAATCAAAATTGGCATCAGGATCTTTGTTTGAAGAAAAAATCACCTCTTTAGAAATTTATGGTTGACACATTTCGGTTTTTGTTTTTTGCTTTTTGGGGGTGTTAGGGGAGGGGGAGGGTCGACTCTGTTGCGTTTTCAAAATTAGCAGCTCGGTTGCTTGGCCAAGGCAAGGAATCGTCTCGGTTACACTTCAATTTGTCTCTCTCCACACTCCCTTGGCGCAGCTGTGTGGACGGGGTGTGATTGCATGATCAAATAGTTCTGTCTGCAACAACATTGTATTAAAGATGGAACCTTCTGGCCCTAGACCCACTACTAATGGGTTCCAGGATCAACACCCATCTGTGTCTGATCGAATTCTTTGTTGCAAACATTACACTCCACAAATGTTTTTACGGCACTCTTGTAATCTTAGGGCCCTAAACAGGTTCGTCAAGTGTATTTCGGTGTTTTCAACAGCGCTTACTTAAAACCCCTTCACTGTCTAGTCCGAGATTGTCTCGGGCTCTCTGGTTGGACTATGAGTAGGGGCGAATTCCTGTGTTACATATTATATTTGTATTACCAATCATGAAAACACATCATTCTACGAGGCTTGATGTCCGTTTGTGTCTGTGGGGAAAAGAAAGGGGGGGGGGGTGGCGATATACCCCTTACCCCGAACAATTAAACCCTTCACATCCTGCACCAAACCCTCTTCCTTACCCTTCTTAACTCCCAGTTCCATTAGACAATAATTTGCGATATAATCCTAGGTGCTTGTTGATAGAAGACAATCTGCGCAATAATATGAAATCATCTGGTCATCTTTTCACTTACTGGTCTTATCTCTGCATATCTAAATGCTTGTTTTTATCTGTAAAGGTAGGTAATTAGTTTTTCTCCATCTTATCCTCCATGTTCGAGAAACAGAGAGAAAAAGAGATTTGGAGAGTATGAAAGGCGGGGGTAATGTTTTATAAACACAAAGGTCGTCTCTGCGAGATCAGCTAACTGTCGCTAACATTTTTGGGTCGATAGTGTTGAAGGGGCAGCGACGTTACCAAACCACGTACTTCAAACAAAAAAGTAGCGTTCGATTATTTTTATGCCTAAAAAACTGGGATTTGTGAAACGCAGAAATCCGCTTTTACTCTTACACCTGCTCAATAACTCAATTTTCGCGCATGGCAATGAAGTGATTAAACTGCAGTTTACCACCATGTGTTGGCATTATACGTCTGGGGGGGGGGGGGGCGCATCAACTTGAAAATATACTTTCTATTACATTGAAATTGATAGAGCTGTCAAACTTGCTTCTCCCCAGAATGTGAGCATCTTGACCAACAGTGACCGTGGCAGCCTCTTCTTGGTGAGGGGCAGCAGGGACAACAAGTATCTCGTGTCCAAACTCTTTGACGTCACCGAGTCCAGCACTCTGGAGCAGTCCATCCACACGGAGGCTAATGAGATCGTCGTTCCCTTTGGCGTTGGTATCGCCGGAAATGTGGCGCTCAAAAGGGAACCAATCAACATCAACGATGTCTACGCTGTAAGTGCTTTTTTCTTCTTTTTAAAAAATCTACGTTCTTGTTAAAGGGTGTATTGCACGCGCGTGTGTGTATATGTGTGTATGTGTGTGTATGTGTGTGTATGTGTGTGTGCATGTGTGTGTATGTGTGTGTTTGTGTGTG